AAAATACACAAATCAAAATTAAATGAAAGGTAGCAGAAGAAGAATAAATCTTATGACGTATGCCCCTTTAAACCCCAGAATATATTCAAACAAAGAATAATTTACAAAACAATACTAAATAAAAATAAAAACATCAACTCAAACAACAATTCATATAGCTTCACATTTTGTTTTTCCCATATATACCTTCAGAAAACTAGCTTTTATCTGTCTCTTAAATATATACATAGATCTGGCATTTTTAAGATCATCCTCCAGACCATTCCATAATCCTATACCCTAGATTAAAGTACATCTTTCTCTCAAGCAAGTACAAAAATATGGCTTCACAAACTTTTTCATCCCCTTTAGATAATAACATCTGTCCTTCTTAACAAAATTTGCCTGAATGTTGGAAGGTAATATGTTTCTGTGAGCCTTGTACTTAAACAGTAAAATATTATAGTCAACCAGATCATAGAATTTCAAAATTTTCAGTTTGAAAAATAATGTATTTGATGGATGGTTATAATCTTTTTTAGTGATAATTCTTACGGCTCTTTTCTGCAAAACAAAAATTGGATTTGTAATTGTTTTGCAAGCTTTACCCCAGACTTGAATACAGTAAATTAAATGTGGAACAATTATTGAATTATACAACACAAGCAGAGCCTTGTCATTAAATAACTCCCTGACTTTATACAGTACTCCAATAAATTTAGATATTTTTGTTCTTAAATGATGAATGTGAGGTCTCCATGTCAGCTTGTCATCAATGATGACACCCAGACATTTCACCTCACCGACTACAGATCTCAATACCAACTACTTTAAATGAGAAATCAACAGTTGTCTTCCTGTTACTAAATATCATATAATTTGTTTTATCCAAATTTAATAACAATTTGTTTTGTTGAAACCAATTTTGTATTTTCACAAATTCTTTCTGTACCATCTCAAAACATTTTTTCCTATATCTTTACCTAAACAAAAAAATGTTGTATTGTCAGCAAATAAAACACATTTGAAAAATCCTGACACATTTACTGTCATTCACATATAAAATAAATAACTTAGGTCCCAGTACAGAGACCTGAGGGACTCCATGTGATGTTACCAAGTTTAGATCTTACACCATTTATTTGTACAAACTATTTCCTGTCWTTCAAATATCTAGATACCCATTGTAGTGCCGACCCTCTAATACCAAATTTACTTAATTTTTCAAGAACAATACTTCTCAATACTTTTCAAAGAGGTGGCGGTCTAAACAGTCATGTCCCATTTTGTCTGAGTTTTGCATCATTGAGGTAGGGTTACACAGATCAATCCAATTATAATCAATACCAACATCATGCAGTTTAAAGCTTGAATTTTCATCCGTCTTCAGATACAGATTTGCAGTTTTGTTTTTTAACTTTCTATATTTGTCATAATCTGGATGACTGAGAATTTACACCAACATGTGATACAGAGGTATACCAACGACCAGTGTGTTGGATTGTGTTGATAATAGCATGGTGAAATCATAGTTGTTTGTGTCTTGCCTCTGCTTTCAGTATGTCACTCCTATTCCAGCAGTGCAATTCTGTACCTGAGTGTGTAGGAAGCATCGAGATCAAATGTAAACTTTGGATGAAACAAGGATGGCAAATAATTACATAACTTCAGAATTGATACACTTGTGCTAAAATGTRTAGCATCAATATTTACTTCTGTAAAAACAGTATGCTGCGTTTGGTGTCATGTTTTCTATCTATGAGGATCGCTTCATTGTCAGACAATCACTGAAGTCTGACTGCACTCAAAGGCAGGCAATGGCACTGATTCCCAGAACAGTTTCAACAACTTGAAAAGATTTTTGTTCAAAGTTTTACGTAAAAAGAAATTGTTTTTCCTACAATCAAGAAATTTTATAAATAAGATTTCCAATCCATTCTTTCTTCCAGTCAACTTAATTGTCTGTACTGCTGAGTTTCCTGAGCAAAAGTGATACTTAGAGCCTCTAATTATTAGAAGTTCATTAAACATAGCTCTTTTTTAGATCTTTTGCACCATTCAGATTTTAGGATGAAACTTTAAAATTACTCGTAGCTATACAAAGACATAAAAAAAATAGTATTATGGAAGAAATGCAGCATAGTTTCTGCTGTCTTTTACTTTTKTGATCCATTTATTTGAGTTTCTGCATCAGTTTACTAAGGCAATAATCATCATCTTTTAAACCTTCAAGACATTTTTCTCAACTACTGTTACAAATAATCCACAACTACATCTCTCTTTCCATTTGTTACTACCGAAAGACTACAWATGTGTCCATGATTATACCAGTTTGTTGTCCGACAATCAGTTATTGAGGAGTCAAAGTTTCTCTGTCACTGTCAGTGTCAGATAAAACATTTTAATTTCTTGCAAAAACCTTTTCTTTTGCCTGCATATTTTTGGTCTGACCACTTTTGACCATCTGCATTTGGTACTTTAGGCACATCTGTGTCATGCTTAACTGTTTCTCTCCTTTAAACATGACCTCATCAACATCCAGTTCATACTTTACTCTTTCTTCCTCAATAGGTAGGTTTCTTATTTATTCAATSCAGACAACTCGAGGCAGAAGCAGCTTCACTGTTCTGCTGCATGTCTGAGCCAGATTCTGTGACATCTGCCCCTCCCCTCCCTTTCATTGTCTACAGAGACTCTCGTCTCTTCCCCTCCAGCAGTCTGGAGGCTCATTCTCTTGTTCCCAGGTTTTTTCATGGCAATTATGCACTAAATGACCCTCCTGTCCACACCCAAAACATTTCTTTGTTTCAGTTGTTGCAAAAATAGTGTAGACAAAACTATCAACTTTGAATTTTATGACTGTTCACCTTCTCATTGTCATTTAAAAAAAATATGTAGGCTTGTCTCCAAACATATGATATGTTTTAGTATGGCTGGTTTACAAACTGAAGGAAGCATTTTCATAGTTACTACAATCAGASTATAACATRATGACTCATTTAATAACAYGTTACAAACTATTAAACTGTTACTATATATTTATATTTACAATGAATTTTGAACAAAACATTTTAGATGCAGTTGAAGTTCAGACTTTCAGCTTTAATTCAGTTGGTTGAACAAAATGATTGCATAAAAATGGGAGGAACTAAAGCATTTTTAAACACAATCCCTTCATTGCAGGGGMTCAAAAGTATTTGGGCAAATTAAATAGTGGTAATTAAAATGCTAATTTCCAATACTTGGTTGAAAACCCTTTGTTGGCAAAGACTGCTTAAAGTTGAACTCATGGACGTCACCAGATGCTGTTTCCTCCTTTTTAACACTCTGTCAGTCTTTACTGCAGCGGTTTTCAGTTGCTGTTTGTTTGTGGGCCTTTCTGTCTGAACTTTAGTCTTTAACAAGTGAAACTCTCAATTGGGATGACATCAGGTGAATAATTTGGTCATTCAAGAATATTCCACTTCTTTGCTTTAATAAACTCCTGAGTATGTCCAAAAAATGTTTATTTATATATTTATAAGAAACCGCATGGAAAAACTTTGCCAAATCCTCACTGCCAATTCAAAACCACTTCTTCTGCTGTTGAGTTGTTTGATGGACTGGTTAATTAACGTTTGAAGAAGAAAGACATATTGACAATTTAACAATTGATTCATTTAACAAACAAGCCTCAGTAGTGTGTGGAAGAACCATACACAGCCACAACAGCCTGGTACCTACTCTTCATTGTAGTCACGCACTGCTGTGGGATGGCATCCCATTCTTCAACAGCATTTATCTCAAGTCAGCCAACCTGGTTGTTTTGGTCACTCTGGCACAAAAATCACACCCAAACTGATTCTGCAAGTGTTCAATGGGGTTGAGATCAGGACTGCTGGCAGGGGGCGAGCATTGTGATTTCGGTGAAAAGAGTTTGGTCCCAGACTGTGGAGCTCTGCATTGATATTGCCTCTAATGTAGTAGAGAWACTGCCCCACACCACCACACTGCCTTCACCAAAAGATGTTACTGTATTGATACGGCAATCAGCATAGCATTCTCCATGTCTTCTCCACACTTTCACACTATGATCSAACTGCCATAGGCAGAATCTGGACTCCTGGACATAATGTTCCTCCACATGTTTAGGTTCCAGTGCACGTTTTATATASCTCAGCTAAACCAGTGGGGACCAGATTCATACAAATTGTGAGTCATCAGTAGCAGGATATTCCACGACTAGTTTCTACATGATTATTTTCATTTTCAGCATTAATTGCAATGATTGTCTCTTACTAACTAATCTCAAAGTGTTAATTKACATTATTCTTCTGTGTTATTAGCTTGGTTTGCCTCTCTCCAGTTTGTGCATGGTGCCATGTAACACCATCTTTGGATCTCAACACCAAATGGTAGGTTAATACAGAAGATTAACACACTGGAATATCAGGCAAATATAAAAATATTCTAACTCGTGCTGATTGTTTCTACCAGGATGTTGCCCTGTTGGACAAATTGATCAAAGAAGACATTGAAACTGGGAAGCTTCCTTTGCTGGTGATGGCTAATGCAGGTTAGGACAGTTGTTTGTTGTGGACACCTGAGTGATTTTAGGACCTAAAATCATTTATTTGACAGTAGATTATTGACATATTTTTACAGTTTACATTTATTTGTCAAATCATTATCATTCCTTGCCTGTTTTGTTGTTCTGTTTTTATCTGTTTTGTTTTCTCTTCAGGTACCCCTGGGGCAGGCCACACTGATAAGCTGAGTCGTCTGAAAGAGTTGTGTGATCAGTACGAATTGTGGCTTCATGTTGAGGGGTAAGTCTGCTCTAACAGAAACACTATTTTCAAAAAAGGTCTCTTTATTTTCATTTTGCYGTTTTTTAAAACATTCTACAGCACCTTTTCTAAAAATATATTCATCCACGTGATGAACAAAAAAGTACCCAAATGCTTCTGTAACTATGGAGGTGACACTGCCACAAACATACACCAGAAACAGGAAACAATGCAATAAACAGCATGTGCACATATGGATAACATGCTGGGTAGACCGTAGRGACCATGTTAGTGTGTTCACTAAGCATGTTCTAAAGATAGCATTCATCATTGTGCAGCACAGCTACAATTTAATTGTAATGTCCCTCAGAATGCAAAAAAGGAGCTATAGTTGTTTGTTCTCTGTTCAGAGCCTTTATTAGTAAAAAAGAAATATACATACAYAATGCCTAATACTGATTTTTTTTTTCTGTCAAATGATTTACCAACAATCTACATCATGACAGGAGAAATGATGTGCAGTAAAATTTAATCAGTGTGACTAACTGATTTTTATTTATTATAACTTGTGGTTTTCTTCAGGGTCAACCTTGCAACCCTTGCATTGGGCCACACCACCTCTGCTGTTATGGTAATGTCATGTTTAGAAACAATTATCTACTTGTATGAATGATGAATGTGATTATAGAAACATACACAACACATGCACATCAAACATGTACAACAAAGTGTAACATGCAATAAATAAATRGGAAAATGTATGGAAATCATGATGGGAAAAGATAATAATATTATTAATGATAATAAAAATAATACAAAAAAATAGTTGCAGTGTTTGTGAGTTAAGGTTCTTTTTGTTTTTTAACTCCTGTTTGTCAGTCTCTGGATTTTATTTAAGTTTTAGCTGGGAGAACACATCCATTGATTAGTAAAGATAACAGTTTTCTAAATAAGATTTTAACTCAGTCAAGTACAAATTTTAAGAACCTGAATAAGCTATATGGAAGCCCCAGATGAAGGAAACATACAGCAGTCAATTTTTCTTAAGTTTCTTCTTTTTGAACTGAGAACTCTACACAGCATGAGAAAGCATCTGTTGCAGAGATGAAAAATGTTAATACATTCTCTATTATGTGGTGCACACCAAGTAGTGTTCTCTTACACACAAAACTATTTGGTGTGCACCATATAATGCTCGTGATTTCCTGACTTCTAAAGAGAATGACTTCACAAAACTACCTTTCCAACATTTCTGAAAACAGAAAGTATCCCCCCAAAAATCAGTAAAGATTATCAGTTCTAAAGGCTAACTGATCAATGATGAAATCTGTCCAACACAGCTACATTTTGGCAAGTCCAAAATGAAAAATATAGCTCCTATTTTACTTTCCAAACCAAAACCACAAACTTCTGCTTGCATTAGTTTCCCATGTGCACATTAGAAACCAGTTTTTCACCTTTTTAATTGGCCATTGTAGCCTGAGCTATTCAGACTTTTTAAATTTGTTTAAATCAGGGGTGCCCAACCTTTTTTGACCCGAGAGCTACTTTTGAAGTCGGCAGTTTGCCGAGAGCTGCTCGTCCAGTCTCAGTATCAACAAAACATAATTTTTCGTCTCCCTACTCCTCACTTCTTTAAAGTAAATAAAACAGAATGTAATGTGTTGCTAGTTGAATTTAAAGTATTTTCAAACAAAATTATCTACTTAACCAGGTATTTACCTACAAAAAAAGAAAAGATAAAATCCTTAATTAACTCCTGACGGAGAAACATAAAAGTGATGCTCGAACAAAAAGGATAATTTTTTTACCTCCTTCATTTAGTACTCACTGTAACGTGTGAGCTATGAGGGCTGAAAACATGCCCAGTGAGAACCACAGAGTCAAATAACTTTGGAGCATGGGAACTCGTCTCCATTTATTCAAAGAACTCTCCTCTCTTCTCTCCATACAGACGAGTAAAAACAAAACAATAATCTATCAGGGTCAACATCGCTACCACAAGAATACTGCCCTTTTTTTTTTAAACCAAAGCACACAATATAAAACTCCCTCACAGGCTGTTATAAAACCCAGTGCTGAGCTTCCGGGACTGGTTTCACCTGATCAGATCTGTTCCTTTTATTGCCTGGAAGTGATCCATCAGGTGGGTTTCTGAATTTTATGCATTTTTGCAGAAATATCGCCCACCAGGTGTTTCTGGCTGAATCCAGGCGGGAGAGTGGGTGCTGGACGTAGGACCACAGTTCCACCTCACTGGATCTCTTTCTTTTATTCCCCTGCATCAGCACAAGCAGCCCCGTGCTGGAAATAAGCCGTTTCACCTGCCGGAGCTCGCCCGACAACATTTGATTGCTTATATCTCCGCTGGGGAACGTCCCAGGAACTTGCAAACACTCCTGGTTGTAGCGAAGATCCAGAACAATTAAATGAGCCATATACCGCCCGGATCCGACGCGTGCACTATGATGCAGTTTACTTGACATCTGAAAATACATTTTCTCAAAGGTATTTTTAATCTGAAAAGAGCTTCACTGAGTGAGAACTAATGTKGAGAGCTCAGCAGACAGTTAGGTTTCACTTTCACTTTGACCCGAGAGCCTGCAGGAGTCATGGGCGGGGTGTGTGGGGAGGGGGGAGGGGGTGTGCTCTGCCATGAGGAATGAATGGCTTAAAAACACGTCCCAGAGGCGTTTCTGGTCCCCACCTGTCGTTTTGCTCCTCAGCATGGCTGCCTAAAAACGCTGCAGGATTTCTCAAACATGCATGAATGAGTCAGAGCAAGACTCTGGGCATGTTTTTTATGAGAGTATAACATTATAACATGATATAAAACTCAAAGTTGATTTTGCATGATATTGCCCCTTTAAAACAAAACACAAAAACAAGAAAACAATCAAATTTGTAACTTTTAAAATATCCTTACTTCACTTTGGTAACAGGAGCCAGACATCCAGTGAATGCTTGTTCTGTATCTGTCTTCTAATTTGTACTGTTTGAATGTTGTTTTCTCACAGGCAGCCACCAGATGTGACAGCATGACTCTGACACCAGGTCAGTGGCTTGGCTTGCCGGCTGTTGCTGCTGTCACTCTTTACAGACATGAAGACCCAGCACTGGTAGGCTCACACCTCCTTCTAGCTTGTTTTGGCAGGTCTTTGGCTGTGTCCAAATTCAGGGGCTGCGTCCTTCGAAAGGCCTGGTCCACCTGGTCTAGGTGGGCCGGGTCCTTTTTCAACTGTGAAGACCAGAAGAAAGTAGCTGTCAGTTTGGATGGTCTAGCCTCCAGCTTTATTCCCGCTCTTATCCCGGTGTAAGAGCTTAATATATTCTTATTATAAATTAACACAATTAGCTTAGAGGTTATGTTTGAACTAAGGGCCCTGCCGTACGAGCTTGTTTATTTCGCCATATGAGCTTGTTGGATTTCTGAGAAGAATAATATTAAAAACATGTCTACGCACCTACTAACACAACTGCTTTAAACTTTCAATTTTTATACCGCCAGGTTTTTATTCAAAGCTACTTTTCTTTCTCTCATTTCGTCCACCATTACAAGTAAAAATAAATAAATAAAATCTCTGGTTGGCCCACGATGTATCTTGGGATAGAGAGGGCCAAGAAGGATCTATTGGACCCGTCACCTAAGTTGGGCAAAAAGGAGGATGCATTTGTTGGCCGCAACTGGAGGAGTCTTCGAATTTTTGACAGCCGTCTGCGCGGCACAATGATGTAAGCGGCCAACAAATTAGACCTCGAAGGATGAAGACCCTGAATTTGGACACAGCCTTTAACCCTGTGAACAGTCTTGGGACGAACTGCCTCACTGGGTTTCATGTGTCTGTTTTGCCTCAGTCTCTGGCAGCAGGTTTGACCTCCAGCCAGCCGGTGGAGAAGCTGCGAGCGCTGCCTCTTTGGCTCTCCCTGCAGTATCTCGGTCACAACGGTATTGTTCAGAAGATCAGTCATGCCACGGCCCTGGTGAGCTACACTTTGCCATCAACTTCAAAGAGTCTAGATAAATAAAGCACCCACGTGTGTTTGYATCTCATTAAACCATAGATGAATTTTTAAAAACTCACTGGATGAACATCTGTAACTGATTCCCTTTTGGAGTCAACTCCTTTTAAGAAGGCAGCTGCTATTAAGCAACCTTATCTACACAAATGTGTACAACCTAGCTGAACTGACAGATGCTGACCTAAATTTTGGTGTGGTAGTAGCTGAGACTGATCCCCAACCCCTACTCTGAGTGCTACTTTGTTTAAATATTTCCCTGAACTGTTTGGGCTCAGCTCTGTCTGTGTGTCTGTTCATATGAGATCTTTGATTAAAGTTTTATCATAAACTAGTGGAACCGAGCATGTTTGTCTGCAGCAAACTATCTTATTAACCAGTGGGCAAATTATAATGGATCTTTCAGAAAGTTATCACTGGATGTACATCTGATTAATTTTTGGAGTTGAACTAATTCAGTATGACTGCCAAAACTAAGTGACATTAGCAAAAATAAAATTTTCTGGRACTTGGTCGATTTTACAGACATCGAGGTAAATTTTTTATCCAGCAGCCAAGTCGTTCACAACATAATGTAAGTTTGACATTTTGTAATATTGCAAGAGACATTCCTTGCATAATATTATTGTCTAGGTTTGACCAAAATAAATAAATCTATTTTTTTTTACCATAAAATTATCCCATTCTAAATTTCTGGCATGAAAGGCAGCAGGTGATATGTGTTCCTTTAAGAATTCATTGGGCCTCATGCAAGAACCGTTCGTACGCACAGATTTGTTCTTAAATTGTGCGTACGAGTGATTTAGGAGAATTTGTGGCATTCACCAATGTTTTCGTATTCTAAGATTTTTTTCAGATACGAACAAAATTCACGAGTGGTCCAGACCTGTCGTATATTTTACGAGCGGTAAAATGACGAGCGGTCAGTCTGCTGTTATCCAGACAGATTTTCTTCACTAATAACTTTATAT